CAAGGCTGTCAAATTAGTATGTCTTTTTCTGACTTTCTCCGGAATGACAAGGTTCAAGCAGCATTAAACTCAAACCCCTTTGTTCAGAGTTTTCATGTTAGATTAAATTAACTTATCTTTCAGATTGTTGAGTTGCCCCATATATGGCCAAAAATTATATCGGTGGTTTGAGGTCAACTAGATGAAGTTGAATACTCTTAGTGCCCCAAGAACAGGCTTGGATATTCCTGCCTAAACCTGTGAATAGGAGGTCTTAATTTCCTCAAACCTGAGGATCATTGTGGGAGACCCCAAAGGCAGAGACTGCAAAAGGATATAAATAAGTCGGGTAGTGAGAAATAATTCAGTGAAAAATACATCTAGATCTTGCTATGTAATTCCAAGACAAATTAATACTTCATGATACTTTAAAAGAAAAACTAAAGTATCTTATGTTTTATGGTTTCCAAGTGTTTTGCTGCAAGCCGCTCTTATTTTAGCTTAGATAAGGAATAAGCTTTTTATGTAGTTGAGAAAGTAGAAGCTGTCACTGGTGGTGACATACTGTATAGGGTGACTTTAGATTTTAACAATTGAATGGATTGCCTCCAAATGTCATCTACTGTTTTGTAAGTGACTCGCTGAGCCCACAGCATCATACATGAATTCAATTTATTTTCTTTTTATCACAATAGCGTTTTTGTGACTTATGTTTATCTTTAATTAGAGGGAAATGCCAGTTTGATAAATACCCAACAGACATATTTAATGTAGATACATTGAGAGTATTTTATTCAATAAATTATGAATGGTAATTAATTTTATACCTTTGTTAGGAATTGATTTTGTAAGAACACGGACTTTCTGAAGTGGCAACTGCTTTTTGAAATCTTATAAATCATACAAACTTACATAAGCATTATTATGGTACTTAGGAGACAGGTAATGTGACTAGTAATTTTTAAAGGCTTATTGCAAGTATTTTGGCTTTTGATATCTTAATGTGTGAATGATTGTAATGCCACTATGGCTATTATATTTCAGATGAGTGTAACTGAAAGCTGGCTCAGTTTGCTTAATTCAAAGTTATGAACGGTCCCAGTAATTGCCACATGATCAACTGGTTAAAGAGCAAAATTATTTTTGTGTTATGAAAAAACAGTTTTAAGGGTGATGTGAAGGTTTTTACACTTTAAATCTTTCAGTTACTTCAGTGTTTTACTGGAGTTCAGATGAATTAAATGTAGCCCTGAATTTTGTTCCCTTCTTTGAACATTTTTATCAGCCACATTTCAACCTTCAGACTTGCCTCACCTCCTAGCACACAGGTAAATATTCATTTTGGAGGACTGTTTTTCCATCTACAGATTCCTTTATCTAATCAAGAACTCTTCTCATCTGCTTTGTTGACTGACGTTAACATTAACATTGACTGATGTATTTGAAAACAGCTGGCTCATATATTTTCTTAATTAAATTACAGCATTTGCAGATTTGGTTGATGTAATTCTGCATTCTACAAATGTGTTATTTCTCTAGTTCATTTTACATCAGCATTTGTCAATCTATAGATGCAGATGCTTTGACCTTAACTCTTTATTCATTTTACATCATATGTAAGTACAGTACAGTCTACTTGTTAACTGCTTAAACAGTTTGAGCCAGTATTCCTGTCAATTTTTAAAATGTCATTTTTGTATCCGTAATTACTGATCCATATGCTACATACCTGACCTTCATAAACATAATTATCCTGATACATTTGCAGGACTGCTAGCAAGCAATTTAGATTTGCAGTTTAATGTTAGTGGCATTTCAGGGAGAAATTTTCACTTGTCACTAAATTTTCACTTGGACACCTAAACTGCTGTTTGCTGTAGCCCCAGGCAAGGCATTGACTGAAAGAGTGAAATTATGGGTACTTTTGTATTAGTTTATTAAATAATTTGCATATAATTGTACTGATGAAGCAGAGCAATGTTTTCATTCTACTTTTTCAGATGAACTTGGCTTTTGTAGAGCAGAGCTACCTACCAGATAGTGTTTTTCCTCTACTTTCGTCGTACTTTCATCCCATCTCACAATTAGAATTACTTTTCGGACCTTTTCTTGTTAAAATGACTTTACATCAGTAATTTCCTCATCATGGCTACAAAATTAGGTCAAGGCAAGCTGAAATAATTCCACAGTGTGATACTGTTTTCACTCCCACATGGTTAATGTACCAAATAATCATTGAGTGATTTACTGGTTACTCCTGTAAGGAACTTCTATAAGAATCACCATTGAGTGTATCAGTGTTTTACATCAAAGTGAATTTGTTACAGTTGTGTGATCATCTCATGGTTAACATGCTGTTTAAGCACAGTGAATAAAAATCACCACACGATATTGAAAGGAAATGGAAAAATTAAGAATCATAATTTGTTTGAGTCTGGGGAAAGGACTTTTATAAAAGATAATGGCTTTAAAATCACACAATAGAAATGTTAGAGTTCATCTGGAAGTCTTACATTTTAATCACAGTGCAGGATTGGTCCTACCAAAATATTATTTTCTGGGAAATATGGTATACATTAAAGGAACATTCAAGCTGAAAATTTGGTTATATGTAATCCAATTTCTTCTGTTCATTTATTTTAAAGGTGGAGTTTATGAAATGGGGAGAACTGGAAAATATTCTTAATCTTAATTATCTCATTCTGTTTTCACACTTTTACTACTGTAAATAATTTAGATACATTATATTATATTTATAGTTATGAAAATCAAAGCCATGATAAATAGAATATTAAAAAAAAATAGCAACCTTTGTCATATGATTATATACAACTGATTCTCCTCTGTAGAACACTTGGTCAAATATGTCATTGCATTTTTCAAAGTTAAAGCACGTATCCATGCTTTTGCATGTTTTTGAAAACAGTTGTCCCCTTGTGATACATTGGGAACTGCATATTGATAGAAAGGGGGACAGAAAACTTTGCATAAAGTCATTTGAGAATAACTTGCTCCCATGGATTTTAATCACCTGGGGACCAGAGCTATAAAACTGCTACAGAATAATAACTGTCCTTATTAATTAGAAGGATATATTAAGATTATTATATGGATATTCTTATAGTGTATTCTCCTTAGCAAGAATCAATACAATTTTTTTAGCTAATACAGTCCTCAGGAAAACCACAACTATACCATAAAAATATCATTATCTCAGTATTAACTCATGAGGAATGAGCAAAAATAAGCTCTCTAGAAAAGTAAATACAATATCAGGATGACAAGCCCTGAATGTAGCCCTGAATTAGTTGTGAACTAATTAATGCTCAAAATCAAAATAGTGGGTTTTCTTTTTAAGGTTCTACATACATGCAGGAGTGGCTGCGGTGCAATAATGATATTAGAAGATGAGGCAGACAGATTCATGCTTTAAAGTCTCTAGTTCATGGGGCACTTTAACACACTCTTTTTGAGAGAATAAGAAAGTACATGTGGAACAGCAAATGCTCTCATAAGAGTGCCTGGATTTGCTCCCTTACAGCCCACAGTTGCAGCTCTATGACTCTTTTCAAGAAGAATTATTATGCATTATTAAAAAGGGATTTATATTATCAATCCTTTCATCCCTTTAAGTTCTGTCCCTTGTAAGTATCCTACAATTACAGTGTAAGGTATAGTTTGCTGCTGATAGCAGTCCTCTCTCTCTACTTTGTGCCTGGTACTTAGTGATTTATTTTAGACATGTAAGTATTCTGCACAGTTACTGAAATCCCTGACCTTATTTACCTTATCTTCTATACAGTGTTATTGAACTAATTAGCTCAAGTACTGAGACTTGAGCCTACAAGTACTGATTTTTAAGTTATTTTAAGGCTTTGCACCAGGTTGACAGAGTAAAATTACATTTACATTTACTTTCACTGAAGAACCTTAATCAGGAAGAGACATAGTAATCTGGTTTCAACTGAAACATAAATAAGGAGGTCTGGATCTTAATGCCTTTACTGAAATGGAATTTTACAGAGATTTTGGCGATTTTATATGCCAGTGAGAAAAAAAGCTCACACAAGAAATCTGGATAGATAAAATAGTTAAAACATTGACCAAGACAATAGTTTTGGTGTCATTAGTCAACAATATCTTAAATAAAAATCACTGTGTTGTAGTTAAAGGGAGATTTTTGTTCAAATATTGTTCAACACAGGTTATATGCCATAATATACCTTTTCCTTCAAGACTACAGGTAGAATCATATGCACTACAGTTTGGTTTGGTTTTTTTTTTTTAAAGAATACTTACCTTTGACTTTAGATAGATACAGAGGTAGCTAAAGAGCGAGACTTATTTCTGCATCCTTGTCTCTCTACCAGGAGACATATATATTCCAATACATATAAATGTATGTATGTACATTTATACAGAGACAAATTTTAAAGAGATCAGAAACTGATTTCTACTTATGCAGACAAGATTTTGCACATAATTTTTCTATGTATATTTTAAAACAATGTCAGAGATATATAAATAATAAATTTTTGCAGAGTAGTATTTACAGGTATGTGGATAAGAGAGCACAAATATGTGTGTTCTCAATACAGGAGTTTGTATTATTATTAATAATAACCTCCTATTTACAGCTGTACTTGTATATGCTTCCTTTGCCCCAAGAGTGTATTTTGTTTTCTGTAAGATAATAATTAATTATGATTTGCAAGTTTCATTGCAAAACAGTAGGTTTTAGCGACAGACTAGTACATGCAATATGGAAGTCACATGATAATTCAACCAATATTTTTTCAGTGAATAAAAAGAGTAAAATAAACATTTTTCCATTATTTTTTTTCCCCCTAATTTTACATTCCTCAGTTCAATTTCATTATATGAACTTGAAACAAAATTTGTTTGAATGCTTTATCTCATGGATAAAGAAAACATCAGCCTTTACTACGTTAATAGCTAGAAAATAAAAATAAATTGTCTGTACATTACTAGCATTAATTCTATTTCTATGTATTTTACAGTTTAACAATAATGCTCAGAACGTCAGTTGCTTTAATCATCTTGTCCAAGCTAATGTGAGGAACAAGAAGAAGCTGAAAGAAGCCGTCTATAAAATCTCTGCTAAAGGAATTACAGATTACAAAAAAGGCTTTAGCTATGCTTTTGAACAGCTGCTAAATGTAAGTATAAAAGTGTTTTTTCTCTGTTCTAAAGTGAAGGAGAACTTGAATGTTTAGAGGGCCACTGCACGCTCCTCGGTTGTGTAACTAAGTGGTAGAAGTGCAAACTTTTATTTAGCAAGTAAGTTTATCCCAATGTTATGCTTTTTTCTTTACAGATCCCCCAGCAGGTTGCTAAGATTTGGCAATCAATTTTATTTTCAATGTGCTGCACTGTTTTTACTTCATTCATTCAGCTATTTTTTCATTTAACCCATGATTCTCAGTTGTCACATAGCTGTGGCGGTGACTGATTTGCAGGTAATTTTAAAATGGAAGGCTCTGTGTTACAGTGTTATTATTTCAATTTTACCACAATATCTCCTAGCAATGTTTAGTTAACCTACAGTTTCATACTTATTACAAGTAATAAATAGTCAACCATGGCTTGAGCAGGACAGAAGGGGAAAAGGACTTAATTAATAGAGGAATATCAGACACTTGAAAGTATTTCAATTCCTTTCTCTTTCTCATCTATAAAAAGGATAATTTCCTCAAAAATTAAATGTGTTGTTTCCATGTTGTAATTACATTGTACTTTCTAATGTTGCAATTACATTGTACTTTCTAATTTGTGCCCAAGCATTAGCTTTCTGAGTAGTACTTTACCACAAATTTTGGAGTTTTATTCTTTTAGTAATTTAGTATTTTATTCTTTATAGTAATTCTTTTAATAGTTTGTGTAGTTGTTTATAAAAAAATTTCTACTTTTCATCTTCATAAAGACTGCATATTGGATCTTCACCTTAGTGTGAATAAAACTATACCAATTTATAGAAGTTAAGGATCTAGACTAATAAATATGAAGTGTATTATTTTATATGTGTGTATATACACACACACACACACACACACCACACACTCCACACACACATATATATATATCAGTGATGTCTCTCAGTATACAAAGCTTTATTTTTTTCTGCCAGTTTCTGGACTTCAGGGCACTTCCCTGCCGTTTTATATGCAGCTTAAGGCTAGAGCTGGTTCAAAAAATTCTAACCTTGATAATTTTGATGAAGGAAAAGAGAATACAGTGTTTTCAAAGGTATTTTCTCAGTAGATCATCTTTTAGAGTAGCAGAGGGGTGTGGTGGGGAAGTGATTGGGTGCCCTCTGCTGGTGATTTTGTAAAACTGCAAGCAGTATTTGAAAAGCTAATGGACATTTTCGGACCACGCTGAAAGGCATTTCCCCTTTCTCAGCATCTCTTGCCATCTCATGCAGGGGGAACCAGGAAGAGGAAAAAAAAAAAAAGCTATATATATCCCTCATAAAATTTATTTTTTATTAACATTATGTATTATATTTGGTGCAGTACCAGATGTGGACTTAGTGTACAGGCACTATTAAGAAAACCTGAACTCAGGGGAAGCCTCAAAGTGGACTTGGTTGTAGGACTTAAAAAAAAAATTGCTTAAAAAATAACTAGAGATCTGTCTCATAGTGGGACCATCTCTCTAATTGGAGACGGAGGTGTGATTAGCCTCTCATAATCTCTGCAAGCCTGTGAATTATGACTGGACATTGTGGGTGCGTATGTCAAAGGAAATTAAGAGATTGCACTAGGTTATAGAAAGTAATCCTCTCCCGAAATTGGCAAATCCATCTGACAGGAAGAGTAAAATGCTGGTGATGGCGTTAGTGTTGGACTCTGGTGACAAGACAATATTATAGGATGGTATAATAAAGGCTTAAACAAATAATTAAAAAATTGCTTTGGGATAGTTTCCAGTTGTATATTTATGAACTCAAACAGTCCAGTTTCTTTAAGGTCTATGGAAATGGAATATTTTTTAACAGCTCATATTTTCGTAGTAATTTTGTGGGTACTGTTTTTGGATGACAGTTATTTCAAACAATTTTCCTGAATACCAAAGTAGTATTTCCTTGTGCTATGAAAAATTTACTGTCTGATATGTTGCTAGATGGAAATAGGCACTTCAGTTTTTTCAGCATACTCATCCAAGTGATTACCAATAATGTGGTTTCCATCATTTCTATGTAGTATTTTTTTCTTGATTTATTATTACATTAACTTGCTCTTTCTTTGAAAATACTAATACTTTAGCTTCAGCAATTCTGTTGTTCCTCCCTCCCCTCCCCCCATACTATAAGAACTACAATTTGTCAAAAAAATTATCTTGAAATCATCTCTTCTTGATTTGAGGAGTTGCTTTTTTGTTTGGTTTACCTATTCCTTCCTCAGTGTCACTAAACTCATAATGAAAAATACATTCCTGAAGTGTCATGTCACAAGGTATGACACTGACCTGACACTTATTGAGTTAATTCTAGGGATGTGAAATTTGTATAAAACAAAAGCCATTTTAGGCGTGGTATAAAGTGGATCATGTCTTGCTCACTTGCTTGAAAGAAAAGGAAAAAAGGCCTTTATCAATTGCAGGAGGGAGCTAATTAACACATAGACTCAGTTCCAACTTGTATTCTTCTGTGGTTTAAGCTAAGAAGCCATTTTTTGTCCTGGGGAAGCTGCTGTATAGACAACACATTCCTTTTCATCTGTGATCCATGATGGGAGGGCAGTAACATCCATTGGACTGCTGAGGCAAACTATTCAGAAAAATCATTAAATTACTGCATCTGCTTTACAAAATTGCTTACATTCTATCCCTGAGCCAGTATCTCTCCATCTTTATGTAAATGGAGGGAAATAAGATGTGTTGTAAAGGCAGTTCTGCCTTCCTCTTGATCCCTTGTAAGAGACTGATGTGTTAATTCACCAGGATGCAAAGTTTTTATGGTGCAAAAATATTCTATGATTTGAGCTTATTCATGTTCAGTTTTCCAATATTATTTGAAGGTTAAAATAATGGAATTTTTTTTCCATTATGTGACTTTAGTGTTTAAACAGTGTAGTGTAAGTACATGCCCTTCTGTAAGTACTAAGAGATAAAGAGAAAACACTGCATTTTTCAGATTCTGTGTAAGCATATGCTAAGTAAGCCTCTAGAAAAATCCTGATTACGTCAGTTAAAACAAAGACTAGCTCAAGTTCACATTGTCCATAATAGTGCTCATTTAAAAATCAATAGGAAGGTTTTATAATATGAGCAGGCTTTGGTCTCCTTCCTTGTCATCTCTTTGGTTTCCCTCTGATTTTATTTTGACCCATCTATTACATCACTCTAAAAGTAGGTGAGTTTCTTTATGAAATATCCAACTCTACTTTTATTATTTTTTTAATATTGAAAAAAATCACAGCCCAAAGCAGTATCTTGTAGGTTATATTTCACAAGTAAAAAATAGTCATAGATTATTTAATTCCAAATGAAACACAGTGTGCTCAGGAGATTGGAGAGAATGTATTGATTTCAAATGGTTTTTAAGTGTTGTTACATGTAAGAAAATCTTTGGAGTTGTTTTTTTTTCAAAGGATTAAATAAGTAGTCATTCATTGAATATTGAACTACCAATACAAACCATCTTTAACGAATACTTACTCATCTCTTAATATAGCGATAACAAATAAAGTTTTTGTATTTTAGTTTCTGGGAGCATTGTAGAACAGTGGAGTTGCAGTACTGAGGATTATTGGCTGATGTTTGAGGGCTGACTTTGTTGTTTTGGTCTCTTTATTACTGAAGAACAAGGAATCAAATCAGAGAGTAGGATAAAAAGTGACCAAGGGGAGTGGGAGCATCTCACCTGACCAGCCAGGTGAGATGTAGTCACTGTCTAGTCACAAAGACTAAAACAAAGGAGAACAAGGTACTTTGTGAAAATGACTCTCCCATTTATTTTCCTGACTCTCTAGTAAATTCATATAGCAAAATTCTGGTTTGTGGAAGGGGAAGTTGCATTTATTTTACTAGGCCTCTAAGGGTTTTACTCTGTCACATCCAACTACTCAGAAGTACCAAGATGTGTCTGACTAGAACCATTTGTATGCAACACATTGTCTGTAAAATTCATGAACAATTTCCTTCGACTAGATTCTTAACTTTCAGAGAATAAGGAAAGAAGATGAATGCCAAAGGAAGAGCCTTTGGCTCGTTTTGTAAGGAGACAAAGCTATTATTCATCTCTCCTTTATTCTGGCTCTGGAACAATGTTTTTATTCCTTTGCACAACACCCATTGTGTTTTTCTCAGTGACTTTACTAGTTTGACAGCTGACTTAGGAGTCAGAAAGGCTTCTTCTCAATTCTCTTTTTTCCAGGCTTGCTTTTCAGAAATAGTGGAACATGTTCAGTTCTTCACCTCTGAGTTGTAATCTCATTAGAAAAGTAGGTGATACTGAGATCGTAATACTATAGGCAGCCATATCTTGGCTGCAATATATTATGTAAACCTGATTCTAAATTACTTTTTTAAAGGTTAACTATTCATTTCAATCTGTTAAAAAATAATTAGGAAAAAAAATAGAAAACAAAGAAGTGAAAAATGGTGCTTATCTTAAGGAAATTTGTCAAAAAATAGCAAATGCAAAAATATTTCTAAGTTTATAGGGTAGATTATTTTGGATCTACCTATAGGATGCTTAAATTACCAGAGTTTTCATTTAAGTGCTCAGTGAGCTTGATAGTTTCTTTAAGTAGAAGTCCAGCAGGAAAAAAATGAATATTCAGTAATTCATTACAGGGTCATTGTTCACAAATTTCCACAAGGACAGTAAAGATAAAGTAAAAAAAATAAAGATAAGAAAAGGGAAGACTGAAAATGTATAGAAGCTCTCACTGTACAAGCCTCATGCAAAACATCTGTAGGGGAATGCTGGTGGGGTTGATGTGATGGGTATGAGCTGAAGAGCTTTCCTTGTGTTGGTGTAGATAAGGAACCACCAGAACTCATTCATCTCTGTTGGGACAGACCTGAGATGAGTCATAAACTCTAATGGAACACTAATTTTTTAATATTATATTATATTA